ACTGGGGTTTATTCAAAGCAGAGCACTTGTGATCCTAATACCCCCCACAAAGTTGCAGAAAGTATGGATCACTATCCAAACTTTGTGGTTGGTTCTCACGTTTCTTATGCAAGTTTTCAAAACCAACCATGAAATGAGATAGTGCTTTTGTACAAACTTGATGGAAACTGGGAGGTAGAAAATCTCAAAGGAATATCAGTTGTCAGGAGATTTCGGTATATTCTGAATTTAGCAGGAATAGAAAATCTGTGACAATAGCTTTTCTTTTAAAGATCGATCTAAACCTCTAGCTTTAAATCTAGTCTTCTAGACTTCTGGCTCAGACCCATCACAAAATATTTTAGCGCTTCCTTTCCTTGTGCCAGGCAAAATCAGGCACTGTTGTCTAATTTGCATTTCTAAAGAACCTATAACTGCAGTCTCTACAGTGAGTGTTGAAGTGCAGAGACATACAAAAACAATTTTTTTTTTTTTTTTTTTAACAGATCTGAGACAATATCATGATCTAGTTTTGGTCACTTCTTACTTTATGTGAACATACTCATTTCTTAAGCCAACATGGTTCTTGGCTGTACTTTTTTATTGCTAAAGCTAGCTGTTTAAGTTTGGGAACATACTTGCTAAATTAGTGACCAATATATTCATAACAAGCCAAGGAGCTATATTCTCCTCTTAGATATCTTCCGTTAGTATCAGAGCATTTCTTCAAGTCAAGGGAAGCTTTACCTGAAGAGGGACTAAATAATGACCAAAGGCTTTGTCTGTGGTAATTTATAGTAATTTAAACTGTTTGAGGTAGAGGATGTACTTAGGCTCACCATGCTGTGTAGTCAACTCTCTCCTGCTGTTGTGACTCTTCATGTTACCTTGGAAGATTTCCTACAAAAGCAGGTTCCCATTAGCCTGGAATGATTGACTTACCTTTTTACCTCTCATGACAGCACTGGGTCAAATGGTGGGTAGTAAGAAGGGGACAGGACCAACAAATACCTAAAGTTTCTAGTATGCAGAGGTAAAGTGTTGCTGCTCCCCATTCTCTCTGCATTGCAATAATCTGTTGCAAAGACAAATCTTTCTTTTGAGTTTTCAGAGGTCAAAAGGAGGCTTCTCTTTCTGTTGCTTGTCAGGACTGTTCCACTTTCATCTTCCCTAGGACTGTCTATATATGGGGATATGGCAAAATCTTATATGGGTAGCTATTTTATTCAAGCTTTCCTTCAAAATCATAAGGATTGAAATTAAGGAGAATGAAATGTGAGACGGTGAAATGACTAAACCTGCTGAAATGACAGTGCCTTTGACCCCTACACTTAAGCAAGAAACTCTTAATAGGTGTCTTGGTTTATGTGTTAGGTCTTTCGCATCAACTGTCCTTGGGAAAAAACCCACAGCTTTCTCAGCATTCAGAAATATCTGTGCTAAATGTGTGGTCAAACAAAGGTATGTTTTAATGTTAACAGCAAGAACGAAAAATATCCTAGCGAATTATCCATACGTGCATCTGTTTTGCCCATTGCTCTGAAAACAGGATTTAGTTTGTTCTCTGGGAATCTGTTGCATTATTTTACCCATCCAAAGTTCTTTTTTGGATTCTCTCCCTCTGCAGTCTTGCTCTAATTCCAGCTGAGTTACTGGTAGTGAACCAACACAATGTTGAATTTAGTGTAGTTAGTGGTAAAATTTCAAAATGAGTAATATTTACATTGGCAGAAGTGTAGCTAGATAGGACTATAGAAAGCTTTTACCCCTTTCATATATGCTAGTGCTTGAGTCTTTGCAAACACAGTCTTAAGTAAAAGAGCATATACTCTTAGTTCTTACCTCTCACATTCATGTTTTAGTGTGAGAATTGTTCTTACAGGCAGAATAATTGATATTAATACTGCTATTATAAATTATTATTCTACAATCATTGCCTTTGAAGAATGGGCTGATGATTTATGCTTTCCATATAAGCATGGATTTCTTTAAATGAAAACAGTCAGTGAAAGTCAATCAGATTTTGAACATATAAATTTATCACTCATTACACAGTAATTGATAATCTCACACATAAATATGTCATATTACCTGTTCAAAGATGCAAAGTACATATGGCAAAAGAAATAGAATCCACATATGGAGCTTTTAAAAATTAATTGAGATTTTAAATATTCCTCAATGATCCTACAGTCCAATAAAATCTCTGGCCATAACCTGACACCAGATCCTTTTCTCTCTAGAGATTGCTCATTAATGGAGCTTAATAGTTTTTGCTACATGATACTGAAATACGTTATAAGTCTTGTTGGATGCTTCCTCCCTTCGAAGACCAGTATCCTAATAGCTCAGAGATGAAGATGTTGCTACTTGCCCAGAGCTCTGTCGTCTATTTCAATCGCTTCTTGAAATGACATTGTGTTTCCACCTTCCTCATTTTACTTCATAAAACCAAGCTTTACTCCTAAGAAAATAAAATCCATGTGTCATCTCAATTAATTCCTTTTGCCATTCCCTGTTCCCCCAACTGTTTCTCCAGTTCTACTTAATGAGCAGAGACAATTTACTGTCCTTAATTAATTATATGGATCTGTTAAGTGTCTAATCTTGATCGGAGGATCTCAGCAGCTAGAGAGCTTGGGGATATGGTGCACAGTTTCAGAGTAGCAGAACTAGAAAGGGTACACCCATATGGCTCAGTGCAGAGCATTTGGAAAGCAACATTACCGGCAGCAGTGTTAATTCACCTTACTCTATACCACTCCAATGTATCATAGAATCATAAAATAGTTAGGGTTGGAAAGGACCTAAAGATCAGCTAGTTCCAACCCCCTTCCATGGGCAGGGACACCTCACACTAGACTACGTCACCCAAGACTCTGTCCAACCTGGCCTTGAACACTGCCAGGGATGCCAAGGCATTTACCACTTCTTTGGGCAATTATCATCATCACTTCTGGTGCTCAGTTTGTCTCATGGTCTTATAAAACTTTCTAATGTACAGTCTAGGTAACCTTGCTACTTCTCAGCCTCATTGGTCTGTCTTCAGGCTAGCACATCTTCTTTCTTTAGGGGCTTGAATTAGTTATTGCACAGACCCAAACACTCCTGCATGTTCTATGTACTTCTATGTGCTGAGTAATCTGTTTTCTGGGGATACCACTACCTCTCCATTCTTCAAAGAACTAGTCTAGTTCTTTGCACTGAGAAGATGGCAGGTCTCTGCCATAAAGAGCTGTCAGTCATTTTAGAAAAAACAGCTGGGGTCAAATGCTTAGATCCCAGCATTTCCAAACTTTGAACTAAACAGGGAACAAAAGCTGTAAATCACGCAGACACTCCTGAGTTTTGTGGAGGCATTTCTGCAGTGTTCTACCAGAGCCTGTCAGATCAGATATTTTTGGACTCGATCTTGGAAAAATGAACTTAAAAAAATATTATAGTAACCCAGGACAGAAGCCTAAAGCTAAAATAACTGGGAACACGATGGCAAGGAGGACTTTTAACGGTGTGTTTTAACATTGCTTTATATGGATAATCTTTGGCTGGTAAAGTACAAGGGAAAAAAAGTTGATGCTGAGAGGCATGTACATAACCAAAGCACAGAATCTCTGCAGAGCAAGTAAGAAAAAAAAGCTACAAGTGGTTTGGCAAGTGATTGGGCAGCAAAGCAGTGGCAAAATTATGTGAGATGAATTCTGGAAGGCCAGAGGGAAATCAGTAAGTGGGGAGAAGCTGTGCCCTTCCAAAGCAGCAGCAGACACAGATACAATGGTACTGGGAAAAATCATAATAAGTTTGAGAGACTGTGGCTGCTTCTGCTGCGTGGAAAATAGTAGCTGTCTGGGAAAGACATCTGTGAGCAGAGAGTAAAGGGCAGGAGACTGACAGAGTTGTAGCCAGCAAAGATAAACTGACACTTACAGTATTGTGGGAGCTATTGAACCAAGAAAGCTGTGGCAGACTAGGAAACAGCTCTGTGTTGATTAGGTTGCATTGAGGATACAGAGAAAAAAGTATATTTTTTTGGAAGTATGCAAAAAAATGTGTGCATTACCTACTGAACACTTGTTTAGCGTACACACTTCTGTGTAAAAGAGGTGGGTGCACCAAAGCTCTAGGAGCTCATTTTTGCCCACATAAATGCTGACCAGGTAAGTCCTCACAGTTCTGGCTTGGATTGCAAAGGAACAGGTAACACCCTCTACTTCAGGGGTACAATATGTGTGTGTGTACACCAGCACCCCTAGGACCAGATGACAGGGGAAGACGGGAATATCACAGGAAAATGCACATGCAGTGCTGTAAACCTCCTGCATTCATTGTGATATGCTGCTCTTTCTTACTGCTTTTATTGAAAACAAGCATACTCTTTACTAGCAGAAGAATAAGGGCAGCATATGCTACAACTTTTTCTGATGTGGTTTTTTGGTGTGAGGCATTGCTAACTCTAGAAATCAGAGCTGCAAGTCAGGACTAGAAACTGACTCACCTAAACATTTCAAGGCCAGTTTAAAAGTTATGGGTATTTACAGTGCTGGTTAGCTTGGGAATTTTGTGTATTTGTCATTTTTTGTCTTTCACCCTTCCACATATTTGCAGATCACACTTGTAACCTTTTGGTCATCTCAGGGCTAAAAATCCAGCTCATAAGAAACTGGAAGTATAGGTCTTCATATCACCCCTCAACTCCAGGCCTTGGAGCTTGAAATTCTGCAACATTGAAAGTAGTCAGCCAAGCTTATGCACTTCCTGGGGATGTTCCTGCTTGCCTCTGCCACCCTTCTCTGTGGCTTAGGGCTGACAGAGGCTGGTGGCAGCTGGTTGAGCTCTGTTTGGAGCTTCCCAGTTGTGGCTGTGTCTCACAGGGTGACGCTTGTGGACAGGGCAGAGGTAGCAGGGTAGCACCATCTGCCTCTGGGTCCTACATCTGCGCTGGGTGTCTTCTCCCCCACACTGACAGCCAACCAGACAACCATTTGCCCAGATACCTTGGGAAAATAATAGTGCAACTTCCTAAACCAGATTTTGGGGCTTTTTAGTTTTTCTTTTTCCTCCATGTTACAGTAAGAATGAGTGGACTCAAATGACTCATACTGCCTTTATCAGCAGCCATACAGTTCTTGGAGGGCATGTTTCTGAGCCCCCCAAAACTGGCGCATTAGGCCTGTTTTAGTTTCAAGTAGCAGTACCGACTTGTCCCTTCCTCTGTCTCCTGGCCAGCACAGACATATTTTCTGCTGTCTCCTTGCCCCTGCCAGATCATTTTTTAACTGTGGGGCTCCCTTGGCCGGGGCAGCTCCAAGCTCTCTTTTTGGCTGTCCCAAAGGGCAGGGCCATCTCCCTTGGGCTGGCCATGTCCCACTCTTGCCCAGCCCCACTGCGGCTCCAAACATGGGCAGAGGAGGCCAGGGGCGGCTTTCTGGGTACAGACACCCTGCAGAAGTGTGTGCCCACTCCAGGGAGACACGGGGGTGTTCTGCGGTTTGTGGCTGGCCCCCCTCCACGCCGGACGACGCCAGGGAAGGATGGGGAGCCAGAGGTGTGCCTCTGAGTCACTGTGTCCTCTGGTCTCCTTGGGGCTGGCACAGCTTAGTCACCACCGCTTGCCTGGAGCCGTGCCCCAGCTTCCCCCTCAGCTGTTGGCATCACACATGTCTGCTTTCCCCAGCAAACGTCATGTCATGTCGTTGTGTCTCGGGCCGGGTGGTGGCACAACTGTGGGCCTCAGCGAGCAGCCCTCTGATTTCAGCCATCCTCGTGCAAGCCCGCCATGGCCTGAGGGGTTCGCTGGGAAGGCCTAGGAGGCCATCCCCACCTCACTGCCCAGGCCCTCCTCGGGTGCCAGCCAGTGGGGTGGGGGGAGCCCAGCCTCGGCTTCCTGCTTGAATACCCCGTGCGTCGTGCTAAAAGCGTATCTTGTCAGGAAACTTGTAGCAAGCCGTGGGAGAACTTGGCACTGGGTATTGGAGTGGAAAATATTAACAGCCTGTAAGAAAGTCTGGCTTGTGCTGCTGCGGGGAAATCAGCAACTGGCGGGGGTACAATTAGTGTAGGAAACTCCTGAGCTCCTCTGTTAGAGGGCTGCACTCACACTGTGCATCGGGATGGGAGTTATTGCAAAATAATGTTAGCTTTTGTATCACCCAGAGACACTGGCTGGAGCCAAGTTGCAAAAGAGCACTACGCTAACTGTTTCTCTGGTCCAAAAAGTCACATTAAAAATAATATCAAAGTAAAGCAGAAAAAAAAACAAAAGGGGAAAAAAAAAAAAAAAAAAAAAGGAGGGAAAGAAAGCCCAGCTCTGTAAAGATGGCACCTTAGAAAATCATGTTAGCAAACTGGCGCTGCAGTGGTCAATCTAAATGTAAACCACTGCTCTTCTCCCACCACAGCCCTGCTCAGCATGTGTGAAGGGCAGGTTTTCAGAGGTGTTTGACTTTGGCCTAATTTTGCTCCTACTGGTTGCATGAAGTCTTAGAAGGATTTTTGTTTTAATGGGAAGTTAAACCAACACAGCATGTTTTTAAAGAATCCCGCTCAGAATTATTTGGACCATAAACCATCCATTAAAAAGCTTAAGGCAAGAGTGCTCAGTGTGACAGAGACTGTGGTACTGTTAGATGTCTGGCTGGCTGCATTCGCTCCAGGGCTCTGATCAAGCAGCTTGGCTGGATGTGGCTGTGTCAGCAAAAGACCATCCCTCCCCAGTTATGTCCCTTACCTCTGTGGGAGGTCACCTCCACAGTGGCTGAACTGGGAGAAAGAACCCTGTCTTTGCCACTTCTCCATGCATAGAAGTAAAAGGAAGATTATGGCATTTTCCATTCATACACCTGGCAGTGACCTGCCGTGGGTGAAAAGAGTGTATCCTGAAGGCTCCTCAGTGGCTGGTGACCTTTGGCGCTGAGTATGTCCGACAGTGATGGCAATTGCTTCAGCTGCATCCAGGCCAAAAAAAACTGTGATAATTTTTTTCCTATGGTGCTGTTCTGAGGAAGAACTTAGAGCTGTTGCTGTTTAGCTCTGACCACCATCAGCAAGCTGCTCCTAAAAGAGGGAACAATGCAGACTCAGACTTTTGTACTTTTTGAAAAACTTAGTAAATTGACCTAGGAACTCTGGGTTTGGCATATTGTTTTCTCCCTCCTAATGCTAAATGCTATCAATATATGCAAAATGTTGAGTCAAATATTTGAGTTATTTGGCTCTTTTCATTCTGTTGCACATCCATTGCAGTTACTAAAGTTTGTTTCCTGGTTATGGATTACTTTGTAATTATAAAAGTGCTAATCAATGGATGATTCAAGACAAGAAGAGTTTTTGAAGTCCTCATGTGACCTAGTGGTTTGCGAGTCCTTCAAAAACGCCTTCAAAGTACATACTGTATATGAATACCAATCTATAATATGTTTTTGCTGATGTGAAGACATTGTTTTCACATACTGTTATAAAAGTTGCCCTCAAAACAGAGTCCCAGTTAAGAACTTTATTAAAATAAACTTCAGGTTCTACATAGACCGTTGGTGCACAGTGACATTCTAGTGTTGCATTAGATGCATAATATATACCTGAAAATTGGAAAATATTAGTGCTAAAGTTAAAAGTCAACAACTCAAAACTGTTAGCAGGAAAGCTGGGACATCGATTAAAAAAAAATTGTCTGGCAATAGTCACTTGAAATGCAAACATGAACTTTAACAGTACTTGCAATTCTAGCCTAATTAAGATTTTGTTAGGTAATGCTAATAGGCACTGAGCCAATAACTTCATTTATCTAAGTGGGACACTGCAGTTATCCAATGTAAGTTACACTCTTGTAACTTCAAATAAAGTCTGAGGGAAAAAGCCAAGCCTGGAGTGCTGCTGTACTCCAGTGACTACTGGATGTTTTAAATTGTCCTGGAGTCTGGAGCATGTATCTCTTGAAGTCCAGGGACTAAGTAGGGCATCATGACGTACAGATACTTTTGTCTTCCCTCTCATTTCTGTGAAAGGTATCTCATGTTTGATACCTACGGAGAAGTGTCATGGCCTGGATGATATCCAATCCATACTCTCTGCACCCTTTTTTCCCTCTGGAAAATAAAGCTGTAGATACTCATTTTGTAAACATCTGTCTGGTGAATATGTTATGGGCTTCCTAGGTGCTTCAGAGGCTGCCTACCAGCTGTGAGCTCTCACTTTCACAGTCTTGCCAGGAGAAGCCAATGTGCAAATGCACCCTGGTCAGCCTCAGTGCAGACTCAGCAAGGTCAGCTCAATCTGTCTTCATTAGTAGATTAAACTAATCTGTCTAATTCTGTGCTGAAACAAATGAAAACCTCTCATAGATTCCCTACCACTAGGCCTGCTGTGGGGTTTGTCACCACCAGAAAAATGATAGCAAGAAGAGAGGAAGTATTCATGTCCTAAGTGTCGCTGACTGATAAACTGGGTGTATACCAACAACCTAAAAATCTCTTTATGACAGCTGGTATGTAGTGGTGACTCTCAGGTCTCTGAGTATGTACAATTTAATGTGGATTATGCCATCTGCCTACTCCACCTGCCCCTTTGCAATCCCCCTATCCCATATATAAGGAAAATTGTCAGAATCAGGAACAGATCCAGGGCTTCTTACTCTCCTGCTGACAAATCTATAGATTAAGTAAAAAAATGTGTGTTCTTCACCAGCCACTCTTCTTCACTTGCACAGAAATAACAGCTCATGGAAGTGAAAAAGCAATTTCTATTACTATTACTGATGAAGAAAATTTATGGATAAGGTTCAGATCACATGTTATTAATTCTGAATGATCCAAGGACCTGTCTGAATGTACTATTGAAAGCTCACACTTTTTTATGACACATACTTGCACATTCACAAGGATTTTAATGATTTGGTTTGGTCCAGTCTGCAAGACTGTCATGATCTAGGAATAACTCACAGATATGACTAGCTGAATATGTTTAAATAGTCTACTTGAATTTAAAGGGAGTATTTAATTTCTGTGCCAAAACCTTTCCAAAGTGGTGTTTATATTTTTCATTCTAGCAATTATAGAATAACAGATCAACTACTAGTTTGAAGATCAAATCTTTGGAATAATGATGAAGTTTAGTTATAACAATACATTGGGAGAAAGATTGTTTCTTTTAACAAAATTTGCTGAACGCCTGAGAATTGATACTTATACCTGAGAGGAACAGGGTGGTAGAAAACTTGCAAACCCTTGCAAAGTGTAACCATGAGTTGATAGATAAGTGAAGGTTCGAAGGTTCAGTCCAAAAAGACAAACTAATTAATATAGCTTTTTAAATTATTTGGGCTTAGAAACTATGGATTTCAATGCAAAATAAATTTAGACTCTAATCCACATTTCATTGTATCTCAGCAAAAAAAGGAAACATCATCTGACAAAATAAAAAAAAAAAAAAACAAAAGAAAAAAGTGCCCACTACTGTGGAGTAGAAATAAGCACAAAACCTAGGAGGAATGAAAAAGTAGAATGAACGGCTACAAAAATGATATCTAAAAGTTAGGAACTGCATTGATAAAGCAAGAATTGCCAGTTGCAAAGCTACGGTATGGTTTGCAAAGAACATTAAAACAAATAGTAATGTTTTTTTTTTACCTAAGCTTAGAAATAGGAAGAGACTAAGTGAAGACAAAACAGTTATTCCACAGTAGGATGGGATAGAAATGAAAAATAGTATAAGGCCCCAAAAGGAAGAAAAAGAAAAAATTGTATTTTGTCATTAACCTAGTAATATTTAATATGGAAAGCAAAGGTAGGTCAGCTGTTAGGAACAAAGGTATGAAAATGAAAGGGAAGATTATCACATAGAAGGTGACAAGACTCAAAGAGTTTAACCTGTTCAAGTCTTGGGGAACCAGATAACTTGCTCTCCAGTACTCTGAAGAAATGACATCTAATTTCTCATGTGTTATGGCAGAAGCAGCTGACAAGTCAGGACAGTACTATGTGAAAACTATGTATGCATATGCATACAAGTATATGCACATATCTATTTACATACAGATTTGTAATACACATGTATATTTAAGAGTAAGAAAAAGAGTATCTGGACAATCATAAGCTCAGTTGCCTGGCATCAGTTGTGAGTCAGGCTTTAAATCAAAATTTGTGGAATAGAGTAAAAATGTAGGTAAATAGAAAATGAGATAGAATACAACATGAGTTTACAAAAGATGGTTTACGCCAGACTAAGCTAATAGCTTTCTTTCATAAAATAGCTGGTGTTCCAAGGAAAGGAATAGTGATATATTCAATCTATCTGGACTGATATATGGTACTGCAGTACCTAATGCTGGCATAATTTAATCTCTCCTGGTAAAATTCTGGTGTTTCCATTCAGGAAAAACTAACTCAAACCGGAGAACGTGCTCAATCAAACTGAGACTCTGTCTTAAAAGGCACTTGCCTGTTTTGCTTAGAGAAACAAAGGCCAAGAAGAAAGATTTTTCTTGCTGAGCCATCACATCAGGAAGTGTAATGTCAGGGAGGAAAAGGAATTGCTTGAAACCCTAAGTTAGCACACATGCAGGTGATACAAACTGACTGTGACTAAGTGCTTGAAAGAAACTTAAGGATGACAAAGAAATGTAAGCACAAGGAAGCTTGTAAGTACTGATAAGCAGAGGCACCTGAAATTGCTGTGCTATTGAACAGTTGAAACTGGTGGGACTGGATGGAAGAGTGCAGTGTAGGGAAACATCCAGCAGCTTTTCAAAGAATGCCCTACAGTCCCAGCATCTTTTGAAAAGAGAAAGGTTTGATATCTTTCCTGCCTAACAGGCTTTGCTTTGAGGTAGTGTTTTTTTTTTTTCCTTTGGCGAAAATAATGTGGCCATTTCTGGTTATGTGAAAGAAATAAGGAATAACGTAGAATTCATTGTTTCATTAGGAGAAAAAAAAGTATACCTAGGTGTGATTCAGTAGATAAGACCTGGATGGAGAGATTCATGCCCTTTTTCTTTGTTTTCATTTAAGATGTAAATATTTTAAGTGGGTGGTTTTGATTTATTTACATTTTTTAATTAAAAGAAAATTGCAGATAAAAGATGCTATAGCAATCATCCCCCTACAAAAGCAAAATATTGCAACATAATTAAAAGGAGTCCTCAAATTATAATTAGATTTGAAATTTAATTATGACTAGAATACTTCATCCCTATGAGCAACTGACACCTTATTGATATGTAACCTTTATTGTAATTTTATTACATTTCTGTGGAGATCTTAATCTATGGACTAAATAAGATCATCAGATTTCCGTGAAGGCTTAGATTTAGGTGAAGAAAGCAACACAATATTTTCTTCTCTATATTATAGTGTAGTTTTGTATTTGCGTATTTCTGTTGGATCAAATTCCTTGTTTTTCACTTGGGCTCAGCTCCTCCAGACAAAGAATTGGCCCCTGGTGTTCAATAACTGCAGTACTCTGCCTTCAGCTACAAACTAAAAAAATAAGGAAGAAATGGCAGCTGAGATGAAACTGGTTTAGCTCCTCTCCCGCCTAACTCCTTACCATTTGTTTTGCTGCCTCCTGTGGTTAAATCTCATTGTCACAATGTGTCTACATCTGCTCCACACACATTTTTCTTGCTCAAATTCTTTAAAATCCACAGACACTGTCTGTAATCATCTCCACATATGAGGTCTTGTATTCATTGTCAAACGTGTCTTCTGCTGGGAAGAGCAGTGCAAGCTGTTGAGTAGACAACTCTCAGGTGGTTTCTGATGTCTTCTAATTTTGCTCAGAATTATATCCATATTAAAGATTATTCTTATGTTAGCAATTAATTAAACCAGAAATGAAG